ACAAGAAGACGGAACCCAGTGCTTGTCTTTGGATTTGGGGGGCAGAGAATAAGTTAAGCTTGACAGCGTAATCCTGCTGAAAATATTTTTTCAGTGCACTGATAATTCAATGTTAGATGGTGCATTTTTCACATTTCAGCAATGTGCATACACTGTAATGCGGGGATTTTATTAATCTCTTTGTCTCTATGTGTGTCTCGTCTCTCTCTCTCTCTCTCTCTCTCTCTCTCTGGGCCAGAACTGCTGCAAGCTGGCAGTGTATCTCTGTTTTTGGGCCCCTCTGAGGGCCTCCACTCCCCACTCGCTGCTGTTGGATGAGGAGAGAGGCCGTCCTTCTGTTGGGAGCCAGGGATTCACGTCTACCTGCTTGACCCCGACAATCTGGTCACAGCCGCCAGAAAGAAAGGTACAGACCAAAGAATAGGAATGTGCAAATTACATACAGAAGGATATAGACACATCCAAAACGAGTTCAACAAAATAAACAGCAGCGTTTGGTTTTGCTTCTCAGGCCCATTTGCTACATTTGAGAGGTTGTTTAGGTCCACCTTGAAGTGTTTACAGCAGTCTTAGGAGTCCCCACATCCTTTGACAGAGGGATAGTGCTGGAAGAAAATTCAAGTTTAATGACACGGAGATGGAGTATCTACTCCAGACACAGTAAACTGACTCAGTCCCCAGACATGCAAAATCCCTGCTTGCAGTCGCTTGAGACACAACCTCTTTATAATGTGTTACTGAAGTCTTTGCTACTGTATCTCCTCTCTGTCAGCGTGTGTAGCTAAGGTGTTGAACCACAGAGGATTAGGCAGCTTCAAATCAAGCCAAGACACGTTTTTTTTTTTTTTTTTTTTTTTTTTTTTTTTTACCAAGAAGACGGAACCCAGTGCTTGTCTTTGGGATTTGGGGGGCAGAGAATAAGTTAAGCTTGACAGCGTAATCCTGCTGAAATATTTTTTCAGTGCACTGTAATTCAATGTTAGATGGTGCATTTTTCACATTTCAGCAATGTGCATACACTGTAATGCGGGGATTTATTAATCTCTTTGTCTCTATGTGTGTCTGTCTCTCTCTCTCTCTCTCTCTCTCTCTCTCTGGGCCAGAACTGCTGCAAGCTGGCAGTGTATCTCTGTTTTTGGGCCCCTCTGAGGGCCTCCACTCCCACTCGCTGCTGTTGGATGAGGAGAGAGGCCGTCTTCTGTTGGGAGCCAGGGATCACGTCTACCTGCTTGACCCCGACAATCTGGTCACAGCCGCCAGAAAGGTACAAGACCAAAGAATAGGAATGTGCAAATTACATACAGAAGGATATAGAACAATCCAAAACGAGTTCAACAAATAAACAGCAGCGTTTGGTTTTGCTTCTCAGGCCATTTGCTACATTTGAGAGGTTGTTTAGGTCCACCTTGAAGTGTTTACAGCAGTCTTAGGAGTCCCCACATCCTTTGACAGAGGGATAGTGCTGGAAGAAATTCAAGTTAGAACAGGAGATGGAGTATCTACTCCAGACACAGTAACTGACTCAGTCCCCAGACATGCAAAATCCTGCTTGCAGTCGCTTGAGACACAACCTCTTTTATTTGCAGTGAACAGCTTATTATTATGGAGACAGTCATTTAGCTTCAGCTCATGATACTTATTCCTGTCCTGCCATTAAGTGGGAATGATGTAAAGTATTATTTTTCCATTAACGTGTTGCTAATCTGGAATTCTCTCAGCCGTGTTTAAGAGAAGAGCTCACCTTTCAGTCAGCAGCAGTCTGAAACTGTCTGTCTGGTGAGGTCAGGGTCATGATGTTGGAGCACACACGCACGCGCAGACACCACAGACACAACTGCACACACAAAGTATATACACGTTTACGGAGGACACACACTCACTCTCACGCTCACGCTCACGCTTACACATTTACACAAACACACAAATGCATTTGGACGGATGCCATATGTTAAAGTCTGTGGATGTGAGTGTGTGTTTATGCAGCTGAGGTTGATGACAAGTGGGACGACAGTGTGTTTATTTGATCCTTATCTAGTTGTTTTAACTCTTAGTCGTGCTCTCAGAGTGTTGCCTTTTTGTTGCCTCTCTGGTCATTGATACTGATGGGAGATAGGAGACCAGAAGTCTCTGAGCCTTTTGGGACCAGCCCTTGACAGTGAATATGATCTAAAGTTACAAACTTGGCGTTTATCAGTAAATAAATTGGCGTACCTGGGAAAGGACCCCGGGGCACTAAAACACGGCAAAAATATTTTGCCCTCCAGTTGTTTCTACCTTGATTTTCAGGCGATAGCTGCAATGTTGTAAACTTCATCACAGTCTTTAAATATCCCCATATGCTGTGGTAAAACTAGGCCACTGATCATGTCATATGCTGGGTTTAAAAAAAAACAGTGTCAGTCCTTACACAGGCCATATACACTCAAAACATCACACTGGTTTTCTGTGTGAATTCCTCAGCGGCGTGCGATGATTTGGAATCATGAGGTGTTTTAATATTTGTTCTGGTGTGTTTGCATGCGTATCAAGGCTCTGTCGAACCATGAGTAAGGTTGGCGATAGCGCTCCTTGGTAGGCTTTAGACGAGGTAACACGCTAAGCACATAAGCCTGTTATAACACATGTGTGAACATGGTGGGGTGCATTGAAGGGACCCTGGATGTTACATGTCTCTCGTACCAGCACCCGGAGGTGTTAATGATTGTGTGAAATCTGTTGTTCATTAACTCCAAAATGTGGAGAGGCGAGGGCCATGAGCTTACTTTTACTTACTTATAGGTACACCTTAAAGTGATGCATAAAACCTTATATTCTACTCTAAAATGCACAAATGGCCAATGTAGAAATGCTACAACAGGAGTATTACGTACTCTCCATTTAGATCTTATGAGGAGTCTAGCTACTGCACTCTGAAAACGATATATTGTTAATTTTATACAGAGCAATGTGATAGTCTGGTAGAGACATAAAGAAAGAATAAATGATATTTTCCAAATCCTGTGTAGATTTAAAAAGCTCCAACATTAAAATCTTGAACTATAGTAGCACATAAATGGAAAATAAATGTATGAGGACTGGTTTGAGATCCGAGGTTAAAGGCTCACTTGTTGGCTGCATTATGAGATTTGGTTTTTATTTTCCTGTTATCAGATTTACTGGCCTGCTCCCCGGGACAGAGTTGAAATGTGCAAACTGGCGGGCAAAAAAGCAAACGTAAGTGCACAAAAATCTGTTCACTGCTGTGTGTTGTAATGTACAGCATACCTGTCGAATAAGGCGTTGCAGTTCATCCCTGCTCTTTTTCTCTCCCTGCTTGTCGCAGTTGGAGTGTGCTAACTTTGTCAGGGTGCTCCACAACTACAACCGAACACACGTCTACGCCTGCGGGACAGGAGCCTTCCACCCCAACTGCGCTTTCATTGAAATCACCGGCCGCAGAGAGGTAAACTACATATACGTGTGTGAATCTCAGCAAGAGATTAATTTTGGCAGTTCAATGTTCGGATTTAAATTTTTGAAAATGGAATGCTATCTTCCCTTTGGTCTCTCAGGATGGCGTGTTCCAGCTGCTGTCTGGTACGGTGGAGTCTGGCAGGTTGAAATGTCCTTTTGATCCGTTGCAGCCGTTCACCTCAGTGCTCACAGGTAAGCTGAACCATCACACAACACTTTAGCAGTCCTCTCTCTGCCTTATCTCTCATGCGCCAGAATTTCACTGCTACACAGCACTATATCCCCGGGAATAAACGATGCTTGTCGTCACGTCTCTGCTCGGTCTTTTGAGGAAGTTTGTGTTCATGTATCTCATGTATCTGTTTTCCCAGCACTTTTCTCCAAATTATGTTGGTCAAGAAAGAGGCAAGCAGACGTTTCTCAGGCAGCAAAAAAGTTACTTGGCAGGGAGTTGTAAACACCGTGTGTTTGTGAGCTTTATCTCTTTCATATGTTTGTTTCTCGAAATCTTTCTCAGTCTGTGTTTTACGATGGGTTCACTGAGGTAAGCTAGAGAAATGGTAGAAGCGAAAATAATAATGTAAATGGTTATATCTGTCTTCTGATGACGTCCTTTACGGTGCACATTTTGGATGGAATTGTTCAAAATATAAAACTGAGAAGCGATTGTGATTTAATCTTTAATATGCAATAATGTACTGAATATTTTGATGTCATAATTGATCGACCCGTCTCTGTAATTGGTCCAGATCAGTACCTGTACGCCGGCACATCTTCAGACTTCCTGGGCAAAGACACAACGTTCACACGCTCCCTTGGCCCTCCACCTGACCAGCACTACATCCGCACAGACATCTCTGAAGACTACTGGATCAATGGTACACACATGCTTGCACATATCCACATTAACACGCCGATTGCACTCAAAACTTGTTATTGCTTTTTCTCCAAACTTCCAGCCTCTCTACTGACACAAAGAGCCTCTCTGTGCCCTCAGGATGGTTATTGGCATTCCAGCGTAGAGGAAACAGCACACTTATTCATTTAGCTGGAATTTTTATATGACCACACCTACAGGGGAATTTACAGTGTGCCACAAAGTTCACGGTCTTAGTCATTCAACTGCACATCCACTCACGCACACACACACACACACGGGCATGCACAGTCATCACTGAGGAGGGAGTCTTCTCTCTCTGTATACGTTTCCAGTCCCAAGTGTTTTACAGCAACTGATGGGTTGTCGTGTATCAAGAGTTGTCACCAGGATTTAAATCCTTACACATGGTCTCCACATTTCACAACCACACAGTGAAGAGATGTTTGGAGTAATTATGTCTCTCTCTCTCTCTGTCTCTCTCTCTCTCTCTCTCTCTCTCTCTCTCTCAGTGTGTGTACTGTATACAGCCTGTGTTGGCGCCGGGCATGCAAGAGAGACAGAGAGAGAGAGAGAGAGAGAGAGAGAGAGAGAGCACATAATTTTTTGCAGTGTTTCTGTTCGTGTGAGCCTGTGGAACATCTTTCCACTGCTGCAGGACTAACAATGACCTTCTGTCGAGTGTGTTAGCAGTCATACATTAAACCGTTCCAGAGAGGGAATCACCCTCTGGTGGTTGGCTCGACTTCTAGGGGCTGAGCTAATTGTTGATGTAATGTCACTGCAACACTTAGGCCATTGGATTAGTTTCCCCTGAATCAGGACACTGATGTCAACATGCTGCTGTCTCCTTCCCCTCCACTACTATTTCCTAAATCACGTGTAGTTTTCCACGTCCTGTGCAAAATCACAAACTATTAATTGCTAATAATTCTTGGCATTGATTTTTTTTCTGTTAAGTTGCACACACTCAGTCCAGAAAACGTTGATGATAACAGTGAAACTCACTTCTGCATCCCTGCATTTCAGAGCCAAATACTCTTCTGTTTACTACATTTACTTGGCAGCTATGGATATGAATGCTTTTCCTTTTAAGATTTTAAATACAAATATATGATTATCTTATAAAATATGATACTTTGTCATATATAAGATTTCAGCGTGTTACATGAAAGCTGTCTCTCATAGCAACCCACAAAGAATTATCACCGGACTCTGCAGCCCCCCCTTTTTGCTCTGCAGAGAATTTTAGCGAATATTAGTCTCATATTCATTCAGAAACACAACTCCAAATGCATGCTAATGTTGCTGTGTGTCTGCACGATGAGTAAATGTGCAGCTGTTCAACTTATGAAGGTGATAATATTTCAGTGTTGTGTTTTACAGCTTGCTCAGCTTTCCCTCCATGTGGCCAAAGAATCAGTTCTGCTTTAAATAATGTTTTGAATGCTGGACTTTTACTTGTATATTGTGGTAGTGCTATGTTTAATTTAAGGATCTGGATAGTCTTTAAATCACTAAGGACTTGTGATGAGGGTTGGTGTTTGAGCCTGGGTGTTCCAGCTAGCGGATGATCTCTATGCCACACTGCTGCTGAAAATCATAGAAAAGTAAACAAAACTGCTTTTAAAGTAACCTAAATATTCTGGCTATCACTTTATTAGTCCATGTAGCAACTGTACAACAAGTTGAAGATATATGTGCAGCCCAGGCTTTAGTTTAGTAAATAGAAATGGTAATAAATCTGCCGTCTCAGTAGAAATAGAGCAAGATTGTAAATAAACACATGCTAAGTGTAGTGTTAATGTCACTTAGAGGCTGCAGAGCATGGCAAAGCCATTACCTGACACATTTTAACACTCTACCCCGCTCTCTGTTTTCTTGTCTGTGTCTCCAGAGGCCAGGTTTATATCTGCTCATCCCATCGCAGACACCTACAACCCAGATGATGATAAGATATACTTTTTCTTCCGGGAGGTATCGTGGGAAGGCAACGACAAGAGCATCCTGTCCCGAGTGGCTCGTGTGTGCAAGGTGAGATATTACACACAACTGAGGTGAGGAAAGTGGGAGGTATTCAGGGGTGAAGAGGGGAGGGGGTGAGGATATGACCGGTGGGTGGAAAGGTAGGGCAGAGAGAGGCGGATGGAAGACCAGGATACTAGATATGGATGTTGAGACTCAGCTGGTAATGAGAGAAACAATGCTTTGAAGATTTGAGTTTTGGTAGCACAAGTAGAGAAACTAAGAGTGCAACGCCTCTTACAGTGTGTGGAGTCATAACTCCTACAGTGCTCTGATTGGATAAGGATCTTTGTGTCAGCTATTACAGGAGTGTTTTATGTCCCCCAGGAGGAGGCCTTACTGATAAATCCTTCTTTTGTAGTCGTCTGAAAGAGTCACAGGGTGCTGCTGTCAGGGGCAGTAAATCATGTTTTTAACCCCTTTGTGCTCTGCTGTACAGATCGCCCCGGAGATCGATGTAGTTGAAATATCTTTGCTCCATCTCATTGTCATCATTCTCTTGCCAAAAGATTTGCATGTACTGTATTCTTATTAAAAGGGTGATAAAGATTTATTTTGTAGCAGTCTCATAAATAGAGTTTGGCTTTGGGGAGATTTAATTTGCATGATAGTGCTTGCACATGTAGCACTGTTACATTACAGATTGCTTTGTCCAATGCACCTTACACTGGGAGCATTCAGCCTCTACTGGAACAGCAGCTCGAACTCATATAGCCAAACTTGAACTGGCAATACAATCTTCCTCTCTGTTCAGCTGTTGGATGCTGCAAGACATTTGAGAAGCATATCATGTTTCGGTGCCCATTAAGTTCTATTTGACAGCATGTCAAAACAACTGTAAGCTTGGACGGGCACTGCACAGCTGATTGAGGACAGAAGCAGGATAGATTTATGATTGGGACCCTTTAGCGTACTACAGGGTGTACCATTAGTCACTACACAGGACTAGTCCACACAGCAGTTTGCTATGTGTATTCGAAGGTCTATTGCTACATTCTTAGAGAAAAGCTTTCAGCGTGTTTATGACTTGGGAGTAAGCTGTAAGGCAGACTGGAAGGAGATTCCTCTGGATTACAGCCTTCTCTTTTTCCCTCTCTCTCGGGTATCCCTCTCTCTCGGTCTTTGTATTTGTCCTTCTCTTTCATTATCTGTAAGTGTGTGTTTTTTTCCCCCCTGCATGTAAAAGCAATGAGGGCACTTCACTTCAGTCCTCTTTGAAGATTATCACCATTGTGAAACATCCTCATTAAGTGCTTACATTTTTTTCTGGTCTCTTAAACACAAGTGTGTTTTTGTGTGTGTTGAACCACAGCGGTCTTTTCTATACCACTTGGTTAGTGCGCAGAGCAAATTTAATGGGGAGGTTCTCTTAAGTTTTCTATGAATTACAAAGAGGTGCACTTCAACGCTCTTATCATAGCTCAATCAAAGGTGGCTTACTTAAAACAGCAGTTCATATGCTAAGATAAAACCTGCATTATTAATCAGCAGCCTCACTTCTCTCCCAACGTGCTGCACTTACATTTGTTTCTCTTCTTCCTTTTATGTTTTCCTCTCTCTTTTCAATTACTCCTGACTGTCATTACACTAACAAGAAGGTCTCCTTTGTGCCGGTAAAATAAGCAGATCCATACAAGCTGCATGTGGTTCACCTGTTTATTTTCCTAATTAGAGCAGGAAATCGGAGTCAGGCTGCGATTCACTGTGTTGTCTCTGTGTGCAAGTCTGTTGGATAGATTACAGTCAGATTGTGGTTAATTACAAAGTGTATATTTTTAATCGTGGTCGTGTTTTGGCCATGTTGGACAGCTGCACTATGCTGACTGTGGTTTTGTGACTGTGTATGTGGTTGTGTTTCAGAATGATGTGGGTGGGCTGAGGAGTTTGACCAATAAATGGACCACCTTCCTCAAAGCCAGGCTTGTGTGTTCTGTCCCTGGACCGGACGGAGTGGACACACACTTTGATGAGCTCCGTAAGTGACTGAGGGAATAAAAATTAGAAGTGTAGGCCAACAAACTGGGTTTTATCCTGTAGATACTATGTTCAGAGTGCATTTTAGAAAAAGTACCAGCAGTGGAGTTTTTCAGTGGCCATGATGGAATGAAGTGGCTGCTCCATGTAAATGAAAATACAGATTGAGATGCACCGAAATCTTTTCTGTGCAGATAAAGACAATAAAAACAAATATTGTGTTTTTCTCCCCCCCCCCTCTATCTTCCAGAGGACATCTTTCTGCTCCCGACCAGAGATGATAAAAACCCCGTAGTGTATGCCGTCTTCACCACCTCCAGGTAGGCTCAGTGTACATCACGTCATTATCGTCACTACCTGTGGTCGCTCCATCTCTTTTGCATCGCTAATTACGGTCTCTTGTTTTCACTGTCTTCTCAGCTCCATTTTCCGTGGCTCAGCAGTGTGTGTGTACAGCATGGCAGACATCAGGGCCGTGTTTAACGGACCTTACGCTCACAAGGAGGGGCCCGACCACCGATGGGTAGAATATGAAGGGAGGATACCGTATCCACGTCCCGGGACGGTGTGTTGCTGACTGTGGAGCAAAGAGACAAATAGAAATCTCATAGTTGATCACTCCTAGCTACAGAACTAAAATCCTCAACTGTCTTGCTAATTACAAAATAATAAACATGGGCTAATTAGATTCAAGGGTGAAATGTTCAACATGCTGTAGGGTATGCATCCACACATCTGCGCTTGACATGTTAATCAGATTCTCCTTTCACTTAGTTAAAAAAAGTTAATTGTGGTGTTGTGTGTGTGTGTGTGTGTGTGTGTGTGTGTGTGTGTGTGTGTGTGTGTGTGGTGGGGAGTGGGTGGGGGTGGGGGGTGGGAGGTGCTGTATACACAGAAAGAGGGAGCAGGAGTGTCACAGATGTTCCAGATGTGCTTTGCCTCTTGCAGTTTTTTCATTCATCCACCAGAGGGAGACATGTACCTGGAAATTAGTGTAGAGTGTGTGACAGTTCTTGCTGAAAAGGAAAATTTTGTGTCAGATTAACCTATTTTTTTTTTCCTGCCCTTCAGTGTCCCAGCAAGACATATGATCCAAGGATCAAGACCACCAAAGACTTTCCAGACGAGGTCGTCAGTTTCATCCGATTCCACCCTCTGATGTATCGCTCTGTCTACCCTCTGACCAGCCGGCCTGTGTTCACACGTGTCCGCGTGGACTACACCTTGACCCAGATTGTGGTGGACAGGGTTTTAGCAGAGGATGGACAATATGAGGTCATGTTCCTGGGAACAGGTGAGACACACTCACACAAAGATGCACACATACACACACACAGATGCACTCACTTCTATCTCTTGCAATTCTATACCTGACCAGCAGAGGACAGTAGATCACTATGAGCTGTCCTCAGCCTTAAACAGATTTTACTGATGCTCTCATGGTCTTGACTTTGGAGTAATGAATAAATGTAAGGTTCCTCTTGGATCCAATAACCTGTCTCAGGTCTCAGCACTGACTCTCTTGTACATTCTAAAATGTCTTATATAACAAACTAAAGTCTAAAAATCTTTGTCAAACTTTTGTTAGTGTCTTAGAGAGGGATGTGAGTGTACGGACTACAAGTATTCATCTAAAGTGGATATGAAAACACTATTCATATCTGACCGCTTCACATTATTCACCTTCCTGTCCGACTCTCTGTCACAGACGCTGGCTCAGTTCTGAAGGTGGTGAGCATCACTCAAGAGAACTGGTCAACAGAGGAAGTGGTGCTTGAAGAACTTCAAGTTTTCCAGGTTTTGTGAACAACACAGCCACACGCACAAATCCACAATTTATTGGCTGTGAGGGCTGCTTTGTGATACATGATGCTAGCTGCTCGTCACTTGTCCTCAGTGGGACAGTTGACTCATCAAACAGTGAAATATTCATCATGCCTTTGATGTACAATCTTTGCAACGCTGATGGATTTTTCTGAGCTATTAATCAACAACAACTCATCTGTCATTTTTGCTCACACACTGACATATGTTTACTGAGGTGTTAAAGCTAAAGCTTGTTTAACTTTTTTTGCAGGTTCCCACTGCCATCCTCAGTATGGAGCTGTCTTCTAAACAGGTTCGGCCTCATTCTCATCCACTTTCTTTCAGTGCTCTGTACTATTTCCGCAGAGATCTTCTCTGCTCTCCGCCTTTATTCGTGTCACATGCATTCATTGGTGTGCACATGCTTGATACAAGACATACTGTTTTTAATCTCCAAATCATTCATGTATCCCATCTTCCACTCTCTCCTTAGCCTTCCCTATTTATTTCTAGGTCTCTCTCCCCCTTCTGCCTCATTATCTAAGGGTCAGGGGTGTCAATACACACTTCAACCCCAATCACAGCTTCCATTAATCTCCAGCAGTGTTTGAGCTGTATGTGTGTGTGTGTGTGTGTGTGTGTGTGTCTGTATGTGCATGCTCGCAAGTGTTTTCATTGGTGGTTTGGAAGTTCTCTTTAACTTCAGACGAGTCAGAGCAGATTCTTTTTCATATTTGTAAAAATTGCTCGTTGAGAAATCCTCGGATGTCTGTGTGTTGTTCCAAGTTTCTGTTGATGTTTTAAATGAGTCTTACTGTTGAAGCGCTTTGACCCCCAGTTCTCTGGGAATACCAAGGAAATTTTTGAAGAATGCATGTACAAGGGGGAAAACAAACTAAATGTCACTAGAAAAATGTTAATTTTCCATCAGAACAAACCTGTTGTCACAAGCCAAAAATGTCGTATCCTTTTCGCCTGTAACATGCTTTACCTCCGCTAATGAAGAGTGTGGTGTGTTTTTCACTACAGCAACAGCTCTACGTGGGTTCAAGCGAGGGGCTAGCACAGGTTTCCCTCAGCAGATGTCACCTGTATGGCCAAGCCTGTGCTGAATGCTGTCTGGCACGAGACCCCTACTGCGCCTGGGATGGACACACATGCTCACGATACGTCCCTGCGTCTAAGAGGTGCTGTGTTTATGTAACACTACTTTTATTAAAGGAGTATAAAATCTATAATACTATGTCAATTTTACGGCCCCTTGAACAAGTTTCATTTTGGTTGCCATGCTAACCTCTTCAACATACTCAAAATAATGATAGATCAGGCTATATGAGTGCAAATGTTTTATATAATGGAATGAAACGATGAAGTTACACAAACACACACATTTAAAATCATGAATCATTAAATTAGTAAATCTTATTTCTTATAATGTAAAACCATGCCCTTCCACTGTGCAGTTATTTAGCCGTACACTGCTTCACATCACCCACTATACCACCTCGTAAAGAATCAGGCAGTAATCCCATCACATGTCAGGACCATTATGGGAAATTACAAAATCAATTGTGTAACCATCTGTAGTCTGGAAACACTCATGCACACACTTGTGAGCACTTCTGTAAGCACAAAAGACAGTGCAAATTTGACATTCAAAACTTACTTTTAAAATGTACTAACTCTCAGCCAATATCAAAAGAAGTTTGGCATTGGCTGGTATGATATATAGCGATAACGCTGAAAATATTTGTGATCCAAAAAAAGAAAAGAGGAAAGTGCATCTATAAACTGCTTTAAACTGACCCTTTGTTGCCCTACTTCTCCGTGGTGTGTGTGTGCGTGTGTGTGTGTGTGTGTGTGTGTGTGTGTGTGTGTGTGTGTGTGTGTGAGAGAGAGTGTTCCCAAGGCTGGTTCTTTATTCTGGGCCTGTCAGAAGGAGTTCATAGTTGTTGCTAAATATGTTTTCTATTTTGGTTCTCCTCACCTCTTCAGCACTTTTTTCCATGCCAGATGGTATTATTCCATTTGAGTTATTGATCAGAGATGTTGTTCCTCAGCTGATTAATGCTACTGTCATTCCACACCTCTAGAGTCTAGTCCTTTAGGTGGAAAAATGTGTTGATGTTTTTTGTTTGTGTGCTTTGCAAGAATCTAGGCTCTACAGAGTCTATACCCTACAGTCAGGGATCACACTGCTATATTACTGGCCAATGGGGATGCTCTTATGGTTTGTGGAATAGTGGAGGCCCTGCGTTTGGTCTCCCGGGCTCTTTGAAAGTTGATCTTCACAGTGCGTGAGTGTAGGCTACAGATGTCCCATCACATGGGACTGGCAGGAGGTGGAGGAGGTGAAATCAATACAAACTGAAGGAGCCCAACACCAGCTAGAGGCCAAAGACGCTGTTTCTACTGTAACATTTATGTATATGAAAACAAATATCCATCTGCCTATGAGGTAGGGTAATTTCGCTTTTACTCCCACTGCAGTTTATTAGAAATAAGTGTCAACATCTTGAATCTTGAAAGATTCATGGTCTCAATAAAGACTTGAGAAGCTTTGTAGTTCACCTAGGATTAGACGTGTCAGCCACGTGTCAGACACTGAGGGTTAAAGAGTAATCAGAGGTCATCTTAAAATCACATTTTAAGTGGTTGTGAAAAATTGTTGCTGGAGGTAATAGTCAGACAACTTCTTCACATGCTCACCACAACATTCCTGTTTTTTCATGTGCATGCAAATTTGACATTGGAAAAAACATACCCCAATTTCAGATGTATAAGAGATATATCTTTTACTGGCTTGTTTGCTCAACTAAACGTGTTGATTTATTAATTTATTGAAGCTGTCATACTGTACAGATATGCATCAGTATTGTACGGCTTGTAGGTTCTCAGTTTTTGTGTTTGGCTAATTAGAGATTGTAGGTTAAAAAACCTATTCAATTTTATGTGTGTGTTCTCCCTCCAGGCGAGCCAGGAGACAGGACATCAAGCATGGAGACCCTGCCAGTCAGTGCTGGGACACAGAGGACAGTATGTAGACTTTGCTCTCTTTGTAAGAAAGTCTGTTTTTTTTTTTTTTTGTCTTTGTCAACAGATAGATGAATCACTGAAACAGCCACTAGTGGAAACCTGCATCACATACCTCTTTTTAAGAACCACAGAAAAGACCCTTAGATCAATAACAGTCTTGTTTTCTTTAGGTCTTGGTGGGGGACGGGTGGAGGAGAGGGTGCTCTTTGGGGTGCAAAGCAACTCCACCTTCCTGGAGTGTACCCCCAAATCTCAACAGGCCCAGATCAGGTGGTTCAAACAGAGACCTGGATCTGAACGCAGGGAGGAGGTTAGAAAAGTACACTCACCTCCACGTGTACACACACACAGACACACACGCACACACATACACACACACACACACACCACCCAAACACTGAAACAAATCATTTTTATATTCCTACCTTGTCTTTTACTCCATACTCGCTCTTGGCTGAGTCCAAAGGTGGGCCTTGATTTTGCTTTTATTGACTTTACTGTACCTGAGGGGTTACATTTTTTTCATGCCAGGTCACATAACAGGGACGTTTCTTACATAAGGACTTCAAAGCATCCAAAAACATCACAATTTACTTCCCTCTAACTGTTTATGAGGTCTTAGCCTTGAACCCGTTAACCGCTGTTTGTGCCACAAATCACATCGCTGTCGGTCCTGCTTTTCTCGGGGAAGATGAAAACATAAAAACAGTGCTTGGATCATGACGATAGCATTCACAACTCATACAGGCTTGAATCCCCAAAAGTCACATCCGTTGTAGAATTATAGCTAATAAGGGAGCGATCCAGGATCTCACTTGTTCCTTGAATAAGATCATTATTGATGTGTATGAGTGTCCAGGGCTTTTTGAAATTTTCTGCAGCTCCTCTGCTTTTGAGGAAGGTGAGGGATGACTTAAACCAGAGCCACCCAAGGGGATACAGATGGGACATCATGTATCTCATATGAAAAATTTAAGAAAAAGGGAGATGAGAATTTCAGTTTATCCTGCATTTAACCTTTACTTTTCATTTTTATATTGAGAAGCCAACTATTCATGTTGGAATGCAACTGCTGTTTCCCCGTTGGCCACTGTAGGTTATTCAAGAGAGACTAGAGATTCTTTCTGTTGTGTTCTGGTCAGAAAAGTGAGGTGCTGCATTAGAAAACAACTTGTAGGCTATAATATGCTCACTTCACGAAAATCTTAAGCGCAAACTAGAGGTGCAGTTTAAAACTCAAGTGGCAGGATGTTGGTGTTGGACTGCAGAAAATGGCTGTTTTGAATGTATACCAACAGATGAGCTTTCAGCTGATTAGTTAAGCAAAATCTCAACTTGGTGCAAATTTACTGTTTCTATGCAAAACTGAAAAGTTTTCTTTCTTTTTTTTTTGTTTGATTTTTCACTAATTGTCACTGCAAAGGATCAAAATAACTCGACAGGATGGTGAGCAGAGAAAGACGCACAGGGACCGAGTTTGTACTTGAGGTGTGGAAAGGAGCTCATTGATGATGACACTCGTCTCCTGAATGAGACAACAGAGACCTGCTTACTCAGCGCCTCAGTGCCCTTCCCTCCCCTATCCAAACATACAAACCTTCCTCCACCCATTGCGAGTGCGCTGTTTACCACTCAGCCTCCTTCATTCCTCGCCTCTCTGCGCTTCCCGCTACACTTATTTAGTCCCACAACTGGTCCCCCGTCCTCGCTCTCAGAGGTGAATGTAAACACAATGACAGGTGCAGAGGCCACTAAAGACCCATGTGTTCCTTTATGGGCCTGCACAGCAGAAGGCTCTGTGTTTTTCGCTTTGTGTGCGGATATGTGTGTGTCTGTGTGTCATGTGCGTGCTTCGTTATGATCCCCTACAGCGGAAATCATAACAGAGCGCTCCCTAGGGACAACCATGTGTTTTGGGGTAATGAACACAATGGGGTGTTTTCTGTGTTTGTGTGTCTAGACATGCAATGATATGTGACCTATTGTACTCTAGACAAAGTGATGAAGGAGTGAATGCAGGAGTCCTTCCTCCCTCAGGAGAGTCATGTGATAGACACAGAAGCTAAAGAAATACAACAGGATGTGCAGATTTAATGAATTAATGGAAGGTTCGGTGGTGTTAAGTGTGCCGGAGTTTTGACTGTGGTGGAATATACACGTAAATTCATTTCTAGTTAACGGGAATGTTATCTCAAAGTCTTCTCCGCCAGTGAAAAGGTAGAGAGAGTTTCAATAACAATTCAGACTATGGTGAGGCTTTACAGCCGAAATCTTTACAAGCGTTTGTCATACTGACCAATGTTGAGATTTATTGGAAAATATACAACTTAAAAATGCTGCTTTGGTGTTTGAAGAGTGTCCTGACAATGACTGAAGCCTAAAAGGAAGCAGATGGTTCATTATGATTCAAGGGGAAAAAATATTTAAATGGGCAAACACAGCTTTACGGTACAGCAGGCTTTGCATGAATGGATGAATGAATAAATAAATAATTGAATAAATAAATGCAATTATTTGGCCCAGCAGCCAGTGAACATCTCAAATGTTTGTAGACATAGAATATCTGAGACAAGGGGAAACTGCAACACAAATGCCTAAACATTTTTTAAGTAATTATACATGGATGAGATATAAATTGTTTTTAGTAATGGTCTAATAAATTAACATTTCATTAACACGTGAGGCTACAAATATGGCTTTCAAACTGAATAGGAAAAATTAGAAAAATATTTTTGTGATTGTGGAAGTACAGGAAGTCTAATGTTTGAATAAGTTGTCTTCCTCCATTATGGTCACAGGCAGCATGTCTTGATTGAATAAGTAGATTCATGTTTTTGATCTGTTTGCTTCTTAGTCATGTGTGGGAAATAATATCTGCTATTAGCCACATGACTGATCGTCAGTAATGCTGCAGACAACACAAAGTGAAGGAGTTCAAATGAACAACACCAAGCTGGAAGTCAAAGAGATACACCATTTGTACTTTTCGTCATAGTCAGATAGTCAGATAGCTGCCTTGTTGTTGATGCTCTTCGATCTCTTTGGTCGAACATGACTTCACTGTCACTGTTATCGTTTCTACTTTTCAGTTCTAGTTCTTTCTCCCCGTACCACCCTAACTAATGCTGTGTTTACTGGCAGCTGTGTCAAAGTACAAAAACTTCAGGCTGATTAGCTGCATTGTACGAACTAAATAAAGACACCTAACATTTGTCATTGTTAACAAAGAACATTGCTGTTTCAAGAGTAATTTATCACACAACCCAGCAGTCACTTAGTGGCCCGAACAACACACGCACATACACGGGAGTGTGTGTTTTTTTCTTCAGCAGAGCTCCCTCTTTCACTGGGATGTAAGGTTTCTTTCCTGTGATAACAGGCGGTCTTACCTGCTCTCACAGCTGTGGGCATGTGGTGTTGGAGCAGGGCATGTCTGTTAAGTGTCTGGCTCATTTCAACCTCTCACTCCCTGTGCTTTCGGTCCCACTCTGTTTCCCCCTGTCTGTCATCCCTTCTCCTGTCCTGTCCCTCAACCTCCCTCATCAGCCCCACCTTAATCTCTCCTCACTTCCTGCCTTCATGCTCCTTACTCCGTCTACTTTGTTTTCTCATACTTTTTGTGTCGCCTCCTTGATTTCCCACAGTCTCTTCCCTTCTGTGTTTTTCTCCACACTTGCTGCCTCCTGATGGGTTTTGAAACAAAAAAAAAAAAAAAGCCAGCTGCTCGTAGCACCTGCAGCCCACTCCAGTACTTACTCTCCTCATTCGCTCATTCACACACTCCCTTCTCTTATCCCCTCGTAAAAATCAGCTATTAAAGAAGTGAGCTGGAGGAGATTTCTCTGTCTCTCTCACAGCATGTTTGTGCGTGTGTGTGTATATATATGCGTCTTCTTGTTCCTGTGTGTGAATTCGCCTCCTGGAGTCTGGAATGCTGGCCCATTAGAAAATTAGTAATAAGAAAAGCATGGATGATGCTGAATTTCATGCATGATGTTCATTAGAACAAAGCACAGCACAGCACGGAGCAAAGCGGCATTGCTATTCTTTGCAGGAGTTTGTTGGCTTAATCGGATGCCCAGAATCACACAGACACAAATAAAGACAGACCATCTGGGTGAGTTTAAATGTCTGGCGATGCCGTTTAGTCACAGATGCCTTGTTTTTGGATGGCAGAGGGGGGACAGCTTCGCAGGCACACAAATAAACGCAACAAACACACATCTCCGCAGAAGCTTTGCATAAGAGAGATTTTAGGTTTTCAATATACATCCCACGTGTTTTGGCAAATCAGTCAGGTGTGTCAGCAAACAAGAATGTGATAAGAGACGAACTAGAAAGTCTTAATGCGAGTGGGGGCCACGTCCAAAGAGACTCTGAGGCCTGGGAGTCTGTTTCTGCCTGGAAAAAAAAAATCATCAGGGTCAGACCGAGAAACCACCACAGAGCTGTGCACACACGCGCACACACACACACACACACACACACACACACACACACACACACACACACACACACACACACACACACACACATTAGCACACATGCATACACAGATGCTCATGTCTAGAAAAAAATGGGAAAACATCAAGTTTACACCTGTGCCTCCTTCTGTAGCTGTCTTATCAGTTACACCTCGGGGGGGCGGGGGTTAAAGCAGGGCTGTGGGAGGTATGCACCACCCATGCACGGACACACACACACACACACACACACACACACACACACACACACACACACACACACACACACACACACATTCTTGTGCTCTTTGACTGTCCTCTGAACACAGCTGTGTTATTTTAGGTCGTGACAGCAGCCATGCCACCTGATGAATCACGGTGGACACTAAATGAAAAGAAGGGACCGTACACATTAGCGCGCTACTTACCCTTACACCTTAACAACAAGCACATGCGCCTCACCCCACACACACACTCACACACACATACCTTTTTCCAAGTACCCTTCTTTGTCTTTTTTTTTTTTTTTTGCTTACACTCATCATGCATCTAAAAATCTCTCCACACCACATAATGACCTCTGGACCCCCAAGCTGTGGGTGACACTCAGCACACCCTATTCAATATGCTTCCTGTTTCAGGGGTCATTACCATGTTTAACGCACCTTGGATACAAGTCAGGCATGAAAATAAATGTGTGTAAACAGGGTGGGAGGTATCAAAGGAGGGTTTTGTAATGTGCAGCAGCCTGATGGATTGTTTCAGGGCACAGAGACGCAAAATTTCTTGTTTTATAGTAAAGCTCTGAATCGGGATTTTAATTTAAGAAGAGAATAGTTTAGATCATTTTGTGTTGCGTTGCGTACTAGCTGGTCAGCCTAACCTTAGGCAGCTGTAGTCACATGACCTTGTTGTTCATCATGAAGCTCTAATACTCTTCATTTGCATTCTCTCCAGGTCAGGTTGGATGATCGTGTTGTTCACACTGACCGAGGTCTCCTGATTCGCTCCCTCCACGCCTCTGATGCTGGCGTGTATGTCTGCGTAGCTCAAGAGCACACACACTTCACCCACACCCTCCTCCGTCTCACACTGCAACTTGTTACACACGGCCAACTGGACGGGAAGCCCAAGCCCAGCGAAGACCCCGCAGTGGAGCTACGACACAGCGGAGAGTCTCGTCAGCGGTATAAAGACTACCTGAGAGTGATGAGCTCTCCTTTCGGCTCTCTGGAGGAGTACTGCGATTCACTTTGGCTGGAGAAGAGGCCGTCGAGGGCTCGAGGACGAGGCTTAGGCGGCGGCAAATGGAAACACATCCAGGAAATGAAGAAGAGCAGGAACAGGAGACACCACAGAGAAAGGGAGGAAGAGAGGGGGGGAGGAAGGGTGGTGAGGACAGCACAACCGTGAGGGGTGAGGTTAAAAAACCCCCCCCAAAAAAAACAGTCAAGATGAGCTGAGTATATTCACCTACTGGGTGACGAAGCAGATATGACACAGAACTGTACAATTGCAATGACAGATCAGTTCATGAGTAAGCAGTCTAACTCAGAGCTAATGGGGAATAAAAGACTGAGTTCAGAATGAATATATTAATTTCAACAAGCAATTCAAAGCAGCGTGGGTTTGACAGTATGTAATTTCTTCATGTGCCAACTGTGCAAGAAAATTTTCATCTTCGTTTTTTCTCGAATTCTAAAAGGAAATCACTTCAAACGTTTAGGATACAACTAAAATGATTAGTTTCTCCTGTTTGCAGATAACCGGTTTCAGAGAAAATACCAGAGACTACATTACTGACGTGCAGGTGAAGTGACCACGGTGAAGGATTACAACATCTCCAAAGCACAGATAAAACTGACGGTTAATAGAGGTGATCAAGGAAAATATATACAGTAGTAATAATAAAAAAAACAAAAAAAACAAATAGAAATAGAAAGTTTGCTCATGGCGATGACAATGCATTCATGTTGAATGACTGTAAATATTTATATAACGTGTACAGGAGATACGGCATGCTAAACATAGTCTAATTACTGACCTGTATAACTCTAATGATAATCATGTATTGGGTTTTTTCCTGCAAAAAAAAAATAACGTATTTTTGTACAAACATTTAACATATCTTCTGTAGGTTCAATAGGTGTTTTCATTATTGTTGTGTTTTGCAATTATTTAAATAAATGTGTCTCTGAAGCTCCGTTCTCTGAATTCTGTCTTACTTACATTCTGTGAAGAGATAAAATCAACGCACAAGAAATCTATTAGAGGTGCCGGTACAGGCAGTCTCAAGCACACAGCAGCAGGTTGAGAATGGGTGAGGGTTAGTTCGACCGAGTCTCTCCGGGTATAGCAACACAAGTCCCTGTACGCTGTATGCAGATGTCAGAATGATTCAGGACCAGCTGGTCTCTTGTTTAATGTAAGTCTAGTGTGTGAAGGAGAGAGAGAGGGAGAGAGAGAGGGAGGGTCTTTAGGAGAAGCAATCGTATATATGAAAGCTTGTGAGCAATCTAAGCAAGTTACATGTTTCCTAGAATAAACTGATAAAGCAGTAAATGCATCAACATCAGTGGCATGAGCGTGAAAAGCGAGCATTATGTGAGCCACTGGCATGACCTGAATTGTAAATTATACTTATATAATAATGTAGATAATATCATGCGCAGTGCTTGGATCTAATGCTGATAATAATATGACAAGGATCTTTCTGTGAAAGACGTTATCAAAGTCATGGGATCCCTCAGTTTTAACTGATTTAGTGGTAACCTCTTAAATTGGATTTTGGGCCAGCTGCTCAAATCCTGCTCGTTACACAGAGAAGAAAATGTGTTCCAAACAGATGCATATATAGAAAGAAAACATACCCATCAATATTTCTTTTAATCAGTTATTGCCTATTAGGTCTCCATCAACACACACAACTACTACAGACCCATATGGTGAAATGATTGGCATTTCAGTTTCTTAAGTTTCACCGAAGCTTTCATTTCATGTTTACTTGCCCTCTACATACTTATGTACATATGAACAGTATTCAAGTCTCCCATTCTGTGTTTCTCCACAGTGTTTACTCCATGTTTCTTGTAACAAAGACTAATGAATATTTCAAGCACTTCCTCCTTGTCTATAGTTTATTTATCAGCTGGCTGCAAAGAACAAACTACATCTTTCCCCAAAAAAGGAATCAGCAAAGGGACCCCAAGAAAAGACAAGAACAGGCTCTAAGACTGTTTTTTTTTAACTAAATAAAAACATAAAACAAATACTTAAACCCACTTTTGTACATTATAATCACAATATAATAAACACAGCAGCAAAAACAAACTGTACTTTTTAATCATCTTTTTTAAAAATCCGTGCTGCTTTCTGAATGTTTGTTTATACTACTCATTTTTCTCCAATAATTTTGAGAGGAAAGTGATGAAAACGGAGGGAGAGGGAGAAACACAACATTCATATATTAGAATTTTGCGAGACTGAGAGACTTACACTAATATGCTGTGTGTCCTGCAGAGATCCCGCATACCACACATGGCCTACAGTTGCCACACTGTTCAGTGCAATTTAGCAATATAAAGATGATATGAGACTACATATTGAGCTGAGGGTAGTCAAAAGAAAGGGCTGGTTAACCTTTGAGTGTGGCTATTCGTGATGTTTGAACAGTGTTACCAGCAAGTCAGTGACATAACATTATTTTTTTTAAAATTACACATCATTCTTCTTGCAGGTTAATTTACCAGCAATACCAATAATACGTATCTATCCTCTCCTGCATAAAAAAATCTGTTGTGCCTCCTCATAAGGAGCTCCGCACGGTGTAGACATAGTTGTGCGTTAGGCAGTTGCTCAGCACGCTAACTGTGCACACAGTTAACTTGACCTTCACATTTGGCTGGAGAAGAATCTATGAGTCAAGATGACTTGCCGCGATAGACAGGCAGACAGACGCAGCGGGGGTCGAATGAGGAAACAGAATTCAAGGAAAGAAACCAGATTTTACGGAAGGAAGTGCTTAATTTGATGTGATTGGTGTAATGAGTGAGCAAGTCTGCTCAGGACCCCCGCAGGGTTCTTACACACAGACAAAGGCACATGCACGCAGATATTTGTAGAAAGTGCCTCCCTGTGTCCAGTGACCCACATGGGCAACCCAGACCAAGATCAGGTACAGTGCATGGGACCAGGGTCCTCCCAGTATTTGGCGCAGGATGGATTTGAAAAAAGTAAAAAAATTAGACTGTGGCACTCAAAGTTCTAATTTAGGTCTAGACTTAAAAAGAAATTAGTTCATTTAGCTAATTTTATTTCCTTGTACATCAGCAATCCATAATAACATTACATTAACTACATAATACAGCCCACGATTTGCATTGTAATTTCATTCTATGAATCAGGCGCCAATAAAAAAAACTCACCAGTTTCAACTCAAATGTAGATACAACGAAAGAAAACTAAATTATGGGGAACAGGGGAGTATAAAAAACTAGGCAGTTTAGAGGAAATGAGAAATGAATTAAACTCATTAAACTCAAAATATTTTTTGTAAGTAGTAATGGACACCTACAGAGTACAGTGCTGGAAATAAGAATAGCCACAGGTTATTTTACAGCCTCCATCCCTCTTCTTCCCTTATTCTTAGTGTGTTACTGATAAAATGATAATTACCAGGTTCCTCATTAAACATTAAAGATTAGCCATGTTTGATCCACCTACATGTATATGTTATGTTATTGCCTGTGTTTATTATGTTGTAGTTTTTCATAGCTGTGCACTTAAGAGAGGTACCTTTGGCTTCAATGTACCGGACATGCCTGCTAGGAGCACACTTTCAAAAGTATAGTCCCATTTCTCACCTTGTCCTCATTCAAAAGCATATAATAAGGTTGAAGACGTGATAATGATGGGCTGTAATGTAATGGGTGGCTGTGGATGGTTTTTCACTCTTTAGTCATACAGTACGAACAACATATTTCCATTTTTTTTTTTACCATACTCAGTTTTGATTCACTGTAGGTGTACAATAGTTAGTTTAATTTTACTCCCTTTATCCTTCTTAGTCTTATTTTCTTCAGTTTGATCTGGTCAGTATTTCATTAGTGCCTTAGTCACAAAAAGAAATTGGCCTGTAAATTGTGAGTTGTTTTCTAAAGTGTCACTTACATTTCTTATAGACTCATACCTTGGTTACCTTGGTGGGTGAGAGCTGTGTTCTGTAATATACTTGGACCTTCAGCAGGCCTCAAACAGAAATAAAACATATTTGTTATTCTGGGCCAGTTCAGTTGTTATTGAGTAACACATTTTTGTGTTGTGTGCGTCCTTTGATTTAAAAGGGTTAAAGAGCGACCCAAACTTCCAAATATGCCTCAGCAAACAATTATCAAGAGTGCAAGTGTCACCACCAAGTGCTAGTTGGCGCATACAAATGTCCTTACAGAGTGCAATATCTGTTGACCCGAATCTGTCATTCTGTCTGCTTCCATTACCTTGACACAAGTGAGCAGATAACGCAAGTGTGTCCAGGTGCAAGAATTCAAAGCCAAGGTGTTTTCCAATAAATACTGTCCCACAGCAAACTTCCACAATCAAGATATCAAACACACATGACAGGAAGAGTAGAGATAGAGAGAGAGAGAAAGGTGAAGAGAGCGGAATTGAGATGTCAGACCGCAAAAGTGTGTCTTCTTTATTACAGAGTATTTACAGCTGTGCAGATGTGTGTTTGTCAGGCGTTGACAGTGAACTCCTGGGTCCGGGTGGAGGCACAGCCAAGTGTTGTATGGGAGCTGTCGGGCTGGGTGGTATTGATGGCCGCCCGGGGGTACTGGAGGGCTGGAGGTATGTGTGTATGAGCTTGAAACAGTTGTTCCCCTCAGAGTAATGACTACCTGTGCTCCCTCTGCCTGTTTTATGGATGTACGTGCTCTCTCCTCACTTCAGGATTTGTGGCAGGACAGACAGGATACAGTGAATATTCTAAACACAGCCTATGATAGATGTTTTCATTCGTGGTGCTTTGAAGGTCCATGTAAAGATGAGGTCTCCTCCCCGTCCTGTCGTACTCCCTCACTGTGGCAGATGCTTTGTAGATGTGACATGGGACTGAATCAGATGCAAATTCCACTGCATCGGCTTTGGGGTTATCATTGTTGATTGGATATCAGGTGTCATTCTGCGTTGTGCGCCCGTGCATATCTGCTTTCACCGAGGTTTTTGATGAGGGCCATGTTCTTCTTGTTAGAGGTCAGGGGTCATGAGAGAGGCTGAAAGACTTAGAGGTCTCTGGTATCAAAGTGCAAGAGTTTAGGGAATACTACTATAGATTTTATCAAAAGTACTGGCAAGTTCAGAAATGTATGCAAGAAGCATATTGATGAGGTGTCTTGACTATAATCAGATGTAAAAGACATGCAAATAAATGTGTCTTTGACAGTTTAATGTAGTTTGTCTGGTCTGTGGTTGTAGAATTCAGTTAAGTGTTTCCTTGGTGGGACATAGGAAATGTTCGTCTCTCATGTGGCATGGGAATGCCAGTCACACAAACCTCACGAGACACTTCCAAACACAAGAAAACTTCCAGATTATATAAACACTGAACGTTTTGTCTGTGGTCTGCTGCTGATGTCACTGTGTCGGTCACAGCTTCGATGTCAGTCTCTGTGAGATCATTCCTATTTCCCTCAATGATCAAGGATCACACACTGACCTGTTTTATTATCTGCAATGGAATCAGTCTGATAATTGTTTTCACTCCAAAAATCTTTAGCTTGGGTTGGGTAGTGACACAGCAACAGAAATGTGTGACTCAGGAGTGTTTTTGAGATTTTATGTATGGACTTTAGATATTGTGATTAAATCAGAAATATTTGGGAATGTTAATTTTTGAAAGAAAACTATTCATGATTTCACCTCGGTTTTTTTTTTAATAAAGAAAAAGCATGTGAGAAGGATTATACAGGAGCAGACGTCCACATGCAGTAATCAGGTTTCCAGTAGAGTTAATTAATCATAACAGTGTTGTGATTATAGTTTGAAAGTCCAGAGTTTGAGGTACTGTATGTGTCAGGGAATAAATAAATACAAAGCTTGTTTCACTCTTTTCAAAGAAGAGATTGACCTGAGTCCAGTCTCATGTTATTGAATCTGGGAGCACAGCT